ATGTTCCCCGCGCAGGACGCCCTGCCCCGCGGCGGGCTGAGCCTCAAGGAGGAGCCGCTGCTGCCCGCTGGCCTGGGCTCCGTGCGCTCCTGGATGCAGGGCGCGGGCATCCTGGACTCCGGCACCGCGGCGCAGAGGTGAGCTCGACGGGCCGCGCTCCGCCTGCTCCGGGGCCGGGCGAGGGTGGAGGGAGCCCCGACTCCGGGCGGACGGCCGGAGAGCTTCCCGCCCGCCCCGCCGCCCGATCCCGCGCTGCCTCCTAGACTGCGGGGCGGCCGGGCGGGGCTTCCGCCCAACTCCGCTGTCCCGGCGCTGAGTCCTGACGGCCGCTCGCGGGTCCCCGCCGCCTGCAGCCCGAGCCATCACGCCCAGCCACAGCCGTCCAGGAATGTCCAAGTCGCTTTGACTCTGCCTGTCAAATTCCTTGGCGCCGCCAAGAAAACCCAGAAACCCTGCCCCTTCCTCTTTCCCACGCCTCTCAGAGTTGGAAGACGGGGGCCGCGCAGGGCCAAAGAGGCTGCGGGGCAAAGAGTGGCGAAGGGATGAGGTGGGCAGTTGTCCTGGCGGGATGACTAGGGCTGCAGATAGGGGCGGAGCCCTGCCTCTCGGGCAGGTGGTTTGTTTTGTTTTGTTTTGTTTTGTTTTGTTTTGTTTTGTTTTGTTTCCGGTTGGTCTAGTGAGAGGCTGGGAGCCCTTGGGAACCCAAAACCCACGCTTATTTCCTCTGAGTCTTCTGAAGACCTCTGGCTAGGGGACCTACTTGTGTATGTGCTGGAGGGGTGGACTCCGAGATTTGGGATGGGAACTTTGAAGGTTTATTGACCTGTCCCTTACACTACCTGAGATCCTGGCTCTTTGTAAGGCCAGCCGAGTTTGAGAAGAGGGTTGGCCATGCTAGAGGGAGTTCACAGTTGCTAACATTAGGGAGGGCCGCGGCAATCAGCTGGGACAGGTGGGCACTGGCTTCTTAGAAGTCTGAGCAGCTGCTGTCCAGCAGCCTGAAGGAAGTCAGACAGGGAGTTGCTGGGGCAGACCAGGCCTGCGCACTGGCCCACCTTCACACTCCGAGTCAGGTGCAGGGGACACCACTTACTGCGCCCTGACCTCAGCAAGTAACAGACACACTTGGGCTTTCAGGGGCTTACTGAAGCCGTGTTTCTTTATGCCTGTTCTTTCACGGCCATCAGGAGGGACCTCTTGGGGCTCCATCACGGGCTAGTCTGTTCAGTATGAGAAAAGATCTTTCAGATTAATTCTCAGAAGTTTTATAGGTTATATAACTATATTATAGAAAAATTGGAATATAAAAAATCAAATGCCACCTGTCTGCACAACGACTGTCAGTATTTTAGTGTATTTCCTTTTCATGTTCCTTCCCAGTTACTTTTTTCCTGTGCTGTGCTCACAGCTTTATCTTGCCTGTTTTCCTGTGGGTGCTGGCTTTTTCTTTAACTTGAGATGGTCAGTGTCTCCACCTGAGCCCATCCTTAGCCTGGCCTTGGGCTATGTGTGGAGAGCTTCCTGCAGGCATGGGGGGAGAGCTGCAGTGACCCCTGCCTTTGAAGGTCCCCATTTCTGACCCTCCTCTTGTGCCTGCCCAGAGCTGACAGGCTGGCTAAAGAAGAAGCAGATGTGCAGGAGCCTGTGTGGGGTGCAGGAAGTGTGGGGATGAGGCTCTAGGGACCCCTTCCCCCAGCTACCTACCCCAGGGGGTGGTTCTTCAGTGGGGTGGAACTGTCAAGATGTCCAGTGTGAGTGTCCATGACCCTATCACTGGGACTCAGGGCTTCCAGTATTTGAATGGGAGTATTTCAATCCTAGGCTGCTTCTTCCCAGGCCCAGAGAGTTTTCTGACTCGGGACCCCAACTGGGAGTCCCATGTGTTTGGTTGATTCTCCTCTCCACTTCCCAAGGGAAAGGCTAATTCTTGCTCTTCACCTTTCACCGCCTTGCCTGCTGTTGCCACCTTCTGCGTCTTCCTCAGTAAGTCCACTGCTCAGGTTCCCTGACCCCCGCCTCCCTCCTCACCTCTGCCTGGCTTCACCCCCCACCCAAGGCTGCTTGGGAGTGGAGAGTTGTCTGATTTTCAAGGCTTGTGGATGTCTCTTCTATGTTCTAGGCCCAATCTCAGCATTCACAGCCACTTTTATTTATTTTTATTTTTATGGTAGTACTTAGGATTGAATTCAGGGATTTTATACTGAACTACATCCCAAGCCCTTTTTAAATTTTGAGACAAGGTCTTGCTAAGTTGCCCAGGCTGGTCTCAAACCTGCTATCCTCCTGCCGCAGCCTCCCGGAGTGCAGAGATTATACAGCCACCACTTTTAGCAGTGAAACCCTCTTGCCCTTGACCCCTTTCTTCCCTGGCTTGAGGGATAGCTGTGCCCTGCCTCCGCCTCTTGGTCCAGTGCTCCAGCTTCACCCTCTCATCACTCCCCCAAGCCATCTTCCATGCACCATAAACCAAAGCAACATTTCCAAGTACTTTTCTCTGATCGTGTCTCTTCCCTGATTAAAAATAAAGGGACCCACTGCACCACAGCTCCTGCTCCATCTGGGCCCTCGCCCCGTGCCTGGAGGAATGATTCTCAGTGCTGCCTAAGCATGCTTACCATAGGCCAGGGTCTGCTGTCTTCTGCCTGTCCCTACTTTCTCCTGGATAGTCAGCATTCAGGGCTCATCACAGCCTGACCCCAACCTTCCTTCCCAGCTTCCGTATGATGCTTGGCATACAATGTTGGGAATGAGAGAACTGCCAGTAAGTCCTGGCTCATCTTAAAACTTGCTGAGTAGGGCCAGGCATGGTGGCACACACCTGAAATCTCAGCGCTCGGGAGGCGGAGGCAGGAGGATCACTGTGAATTTGAGGCCAGCCTGGGCTACAAAGTGAGCTCAAGGCCAGCCTGAACTGCATAGGGAAACCCTGCCTCAAAAAGGCAAAAAAAAAAAAAAAAAAAAAAACCCTGTGGCGTAAAGTCTCCACAACCTTCAAGACCCCCATCCCAGCACCCGCCCTGTCTGTGCCCTCCCTCCCTGCCCCAGCGGGACAGTTTAGTGCTACCTAAGGATGGTAACCCTAAGCCACAGTCTGCTGTCTTCTGTCCCCATCTTCCTGATCCAGCCAGCTATTGATTTCCTCTAGGACAAAGGTGGTGGCCCATTCATCCTTGTGTCCGTGGCACCGAGGACTGACTCTCACAGTCTATCAAGGGACAGTGAGTACCTGCTGAGGACAACAAAGTGCATTTAGAAGGCTCCCCTCTTCGCCCTAGTGAGCTCTGGGAACCAGGTCCTTCCTGGAGCAGCTCCCCATCCCGTTGTACACGTTAGCCTTTACAGAACTGCCAAGGTTTTATAGAAGGCAGCTGAGGAGGGGACAGCCCAGGAGGCTTACTAAGATTAGTGAGGGAGGCTCAGCCAACAGGAATCAAAGTTCTGAGCAAGTGAAGTAGGAAGAGAAGAGGGGCTTGGTGCCCATCAGCTGGAGGACTGCCAGACCAGGGAGGTCTGCACAAGGACCCTGCCATTGCTGTGGCTGCTTCTACCCTGAACCATAGGACTTTCTCTCTGAGACCCACATGCCCAGCCCCAGCCCGCCTCCCCCTGGCTGCCTTGCAGACCAAGTCCTCCTGTACTAGCAGGAGTGGCTCTCTCCTGATTTATTTGCCTGGCTAAGGAGACCTCTGGAGGACACCGGCCAGCCCTCCTTCTAGACCCTTGGAGGACCCAGGCCAGCCCTCTCCCATGAGCTGGTCCCAGCATACAACCAGGGCCCAGCAGAGGGAAGCCAGCTGGGGCTGCCTTTCCTGTAAGCAGCTGTAGGCCAGCCTCCCTGCTAGGAAATGCTTTTGTTCACTTTAATAATTAATAGCCGCTCCCCAGCCTGGGACCTGGCAGGCAGGCAGGCCTGCGGGTGGGTGGCAAGAGAGTGGGCAGAGGAGAAGAGAGCAGGAAAGCAGACTAGTGAGACCTCCTTTACCCTTCCTGCTCCACCTCCTTCAGGGTCTGGGGTCACTGAGCCGATTGCCACAGGGCAGGTGAGCAGAGCAGCTGCCAGGGCCGTGAGAAGCGGGGATCCGAGCCTCTAGAGCCCCGAACCTCCTCTCTAGCTAGACCATCTTCGCACAGGTTCTGGCAGCTGCTTCTAGCCGCGGGGCCCTCCCTCTGCCTGCATTGTTGAGGTGGGTGTGCCCCAGCTAGCCTCTGCTTTTATCTTCTCTGGTCTGAAGCTTGGCCAGGCTCTGGGAATATCAGGGGCTGGGCAGGACTAAGCCACAGATCTTGGTTGGGAGCAGGAATGTCAGGCCCAGTTTGATGATCAGCAGCAGCCCCCAGGGGCCCAGATAACGCCTTCAGGGAAAGTGGGCACCAGTGTGATGCTTGGAGAAAGGGAGGAGATAGAGAAAAAGAGCCGGGGTCTGATGAAGGAACCACGCCAGGACAGGGAAGAGAACTGGATTTCACAGACAGGCTTTAGGGGAATCTGAGGCCAGAGATGAGATGCAGGCGACATAAACGTTTTGCTCTTGCTACCTTGTGCCAGCCGAGAACAGTCAACAAAGCCTCTTTCTACAGCTTATGACCTTAGGGCTCTCACCATTTCCTCAGCTTCCCATACATGAAGGTGGATCTGGTTCAGACCAAAGCAATGCTGAGAACCTTGGGTTGTCAAGGTGGGTAAGACTTAAGAGCTGGTGAGGAGAAGGAAAGGGAGATGGCTTCGGGTACCTCTGAGGGGAGGCCAGGGCTCCAGCCTCGGTCCCTTGCCCCCTGGGGGTTTGGTATGAGTGGTGGTTAAACTGGTCATAGCGATCATAAGCATGGGGTCAAGGATGTAAAGTGCCACAAGTGGCCTGTGAGTATAGAACAGAGGCTGCAGGGAGGCTCTGTACCAGAGAGCCATGGCAGGTTTGTGGCTGCCAGGAGAGGAGCCCTGGATACCCGCTTAGCCTTGCAAGTGAACATCTCCAGGGACCTGCTGGGGGGGGGGTCCCAGCAACCGCAGGCAGTACCCTGCAGCCCCCACTGTGTGCCCACATGTATCTCTGTATACCCTGGAGCACAGAGGACCTGCTGGCCTGGCTATGAAGATCAGGTTGTTCTTAGTGTCCACTGAACACCACTGGACTCCCAC